CCGTCCGTCTTCAGGTGGAATCACTTCTCAACACAGAATGGGATGTGGTTTTTGCGGATGAAGATTTCACAATGGGAGGTTATGGTGTAACAATGAAAAATGCCAAGGTATATCATAAGCCATACATCATGTTCAGCACAACTCATCTACTGCAGCCGTTAGCATGGGAATTGGCACTTGGTAAGTGCTTACTGAACAAGTTCTTAGAACTCGTTAATTGATTTAAATCAATCAAAAACTATGCTCATGCCATCAAATTAACCGCATACATACATGCATGCATGTATAATTTAGTGGTCGTATCGATATTCACTAAGGCTCATAAATCCCCTAGCTGATAGGAGTTCCAGTCTTGCAAAAAAATTCAACATATCAAACTTCGATGATGCCTATTTTGGAAACATGTGTCCAGAATGGATAGCTATGTATGCATGGGATTGATTGGAGGATGTGTTCATAGGCACTCATTTCTTCAAAGCATTGCATTGATTGTGTGCGTTATTATGCGAAGTCGTATTTCCTGTTGAAGGCAGAAGCTTCATAACTCGACCACCTCCATGGATGCCGGATATGGATGATATGCATTTCGACGTCACTGATTATCGCCAACGTTGGCATGTTCTCTATGCGAAGATTTTAGCATGGCTNTCGTTGAAATTTCGCGTCGAATTCGCTAAAAACAAGGTACGAATATGAGAAATATGTGACATCTATAGCTGAAAAACTGAACTTCCAAACTACCTCCTTCAAATGAATGATAGTTGCGAGTAAAGCGAAAAGTAACGTGTAAGAATATGAGGATGCTCAGCGTTGGAAACTGATCGAGAACGACTAGAGAAGACTTCATTACCAACTTTAGGCTCTCTCCAAATGGCATTCGAGTTCTCTTCGCAAGAAAATGGTATACCTAAAAGGTGTTGAACAGATTCCATTGCGGATCCACTGCAGATCACTTGAGCAAAATGCTTCCGAGCCAGTTTAGATAGTAGATCTGATTGTAATTTTCAGGGACTCGCCATGGTTGGTATTGAACACTTTACATTCGCGGACTTGTGGGGCAATGCTGCATTCAATTTCCAAGAAGAAATTGACTATATGGCTTTTCCACTTCCAGGTTTGCTGCTTGATCGTGAGCCATTATACTGGCTGCACAATGAGAATTTAGTTCTTAATAAGTTTGCACAAACTGTTGGGGCTGTCACCTTGAAGAAGTGAGAAAATAAAAGCAATTCGATGAATT